AGTTCCATTCCTAAATGGAAGTCAATAAGCTACCTGCGTACACAAATGACACCAAATTAGGATTAGAAGTTTACCTTGAACATTTGGAGGGGATGAAACATGCATCTGGCACAATTCTGAGACTTCGGATCTATGTCCACAGTGGGTGGTGGAAACACATGACTCCACTTTATAGCCGTTCTCTCGGTAGTGGTGTTCTTCTCCATTGGTTTGGCAGATATAGAATTTTGACAATATTCAATGTAAAAGATCAGTTTAAAATTTAACGGCCCGCAAATTGTTCACTGTAAATTAGAATTAAGCCTCGTTATCTCTCTGATTTGATTAGACAAACCAATTCACCAAACCAAACAGTTTAAAAAGTAGGCAAAAAATTGATTGATTTTTTGACATAAATTTGCTGGCCTAAGCGGAGACTTCGGTCTACAGTCAATGTCGGTCGCGCGCAACGTTTACACCGTTGACTGCCTCGCACCTATTCGGCTATTTGATGGACGCTCGTGTTGGTACCTACTGTCTACCAAGCTGCGACTAACAACGCCATAAACAATGGTGAACCAATACGATACAACTCGATGGCGGCCTGGCATTTTGCATGCCGTGTTTCAATGTTCGGCGAGTCATTCATGCAGTGCCGTCATGTCACGATGGGTTAGTCGGACAGTCTGGCCCGAGCCCGACATGGCCCGAAGCACGAGACTTGTGTTGTCCTAGGCTAACCCGGCGAAGACTCTGCATTAAGTAGGATACCATAATCACATATTTATACTAATATTTTTTTTATTTTCTACACCTTATTATCACGAAATTTGACTAGTATTTACATTATGTTTATCAATACTTACTACATATCTGCATCGGTAATATTTTAGAATTTAAAAATTGTTGGCATACGTGCAACAAGAAGAGTAAGATACTATTTTATTTGGAAATTGTGTTAATTTTCGTGTTATAGCGTAATTCTTGTATTACTCATGTTGTGCGCCTCATTGAGCCCAGGATCTGGACCGAACCTAATGAGACAACTGGTGCATTCACCGATCTAGTAAAGTTTCCAAGAGAATGACCAACTCTGTTCTATTATCAATAAGAACCCTCTAAAACTACCATTAATCTGTTGAATATACAAGCAACTTTCCATATGATTAATTCACGAATACTGTAGGTGTGGCGTCTAGCCCGGGTACAACAATAGCCAAACAGCCGCCGCACATGTCACTCCGGGGTGTTATGCTGGTGCGCGTGTTTAGAACATGTAGCAGAAACACATGCATATCTACCAGGAAATTTGCTTCCTTTTTTTTTTGCAAAATAAAGACCTAGATCTATGGGAAATACACTTTGGTTCCTGGTTGTATATACACCCTATATGGGGATTTTTTTAATAATTAAACAAAAAGTCAAAATAGTTCAGAAATATTTTTAGATTAAACTTGACTTTGTTTTGCACTAGTATATAATTTTCATGAAAAAAACCAACATTGACTTCAGGGCAAAAAGACAAAATTTATTTGCTACTATAGGTCACTATTCACACTATGTTGACTGAAAATTTGTCTTTTTTGAAAAGAAGTCAAAGGGTGATTTTATTTTTGTGAAAAGATTCTCACAAGTACAATAGAAGGTCAAGTTTATTTCAAAAATATATTCAGATTTTTTGACTTTTTGTTGGCTTACTAATTTATTTTTCCACATAGGGTGTATATACACCCAGAACCAAACATTCCCGTCCCTAGATCTATTATAAAGGTTCCTAAAAAGTACAAGGCATCTTAAGCATAATAAAGATTTACAAGCCATTGACCAGTTTTTTTAGAAAAGAAGATTAATATCTGTAATACCATATTTATATCATTGGATCCATTAGAAAAGTATTTTCATACTTATTATTTTGTATTATGGATGATCATATTTCATTCTGTATTTTTTGTCAAATGTACATATGTCCGACTTTTAAAAAAGTTGATACACCTTATATTCGAGAACGGAAGGAGCATAAGAAAGTATTTGGCACGTGAGACTGTTAACAGTCCCTCGTTGATAAGATTATGTGGATACATATACTTTCACTAGTATACGATTCGATTGATGACTATATTTCACAAGTTATGGACCTAACCCTGAGCTCGGGATGTGAATCACCGAGTCGGGTAGACCCACTTTGAGATACAAAGATATCGTCATGTATTAGTCTCGGGTACAATGTATATGTCATATCCAAGACCTGAGGTCTTCGCATGTAATTAGGATGTGGACCGACTTAGTGTTTATTAAATGCTACTCTGTAACTATATAGTTATAAGGGTAGCTTCTAGTTTAGTCGTAAAACATGTCGTGAGACATGGTCGGCTAAGATAGGATTTTCCCCTCCAGCTCTGAGAGATGTTCTCTGGGCGCTATCGATTGATCAAATTTGGAAAACATGACCATGCGACTTGTGTTAAGAAGAGATGTCGATCTACCAACAAGGATGGCAAGTACTTGCCTTAGCTTCACAACATATATAGTGAAGAAAAATAATGTTGCATATGACCCATTGTTAAGGTTCGTCGATGCATACTTGGGAGTTGGCACATTCTACTATAAGTCACTACCATCATGCCAGATGAGAAGTCACTTGGTCTATCCAGACAACCATCTAGTAGGACCAATGCTGAGGACTGGGCTTGGATTTTTTGGCATGGCACAAGGTCTAAAGACGAAGCACGGTCCATGGCACGACATGACCTGAGGTATGATGAATCGGGCAGCACGACCTGACGATCGAGGTCCTAGGCCGTGTCTGGCCGAGAAAATGGGCATCCGACAACATGATTAGACGAGTTGGCACGGGCACGACCCAACACGAAACACGGCCTGATAAAAACTAACAAATGAACAGATGCAACATTGTCAGAACTAACACAGAAAACTACAATATGTCCCCACCACTAACTCTATCTCTTTCCCTTATCTCTTCAAGACTCCATGCATGATGCAAAACACACCCGAATAAATCCCTGAGTTAGTTAATGGCGCCGTCGTGTCCACTGTGTCTGCTATAGCTGGTGGTAGGTCCTACTTTCTCTCAATTACAACCGAGGTCACTGGTACAATATCCAGCTCGCGGTGATGCCCCAATGACAGAAACTGATGGCGACCTGACACGGTAAGACCCGACGATGCTCTCCCATGTTGCGTGCCGTGCAACGCTCGGCGAGTCATCTTTGCAATGGCAGCATGAAAAGATGGGTTAGTCAGAGTATCTGCTCTGAGCCCGACATGGCCCGAAACATAAGAGCTCTGCTAGGTTGACCCGACCCGGACAAGCCTATGCATTATGTAGGACTCCATAATCACATGTTTATACTAAATATTTTTATTTTTACACTTTATTATCACAAGATTTGACTAGTATTTATATTATGTTTAACAATACATACCACATATCTGCATTGGTGATATTTTAAAAAAAATCATTGGCACACACAAACTTGCATCTTTATAAATGCAACAAGAACCGCAAAAATACTATTTTTATTGCAAATTATGTTAATTTTTTTATTATAGTTTAGGATGTTTTATGAAATAAATCTGGTTGATCCAAATCTAAATAAAGCACAAAAAGGACAAAATCACATGCATCCATCAGTGGAGTAATTTGTTCAATTTATTTAGAGATAGCCAAGGATATACTCCCTCTGTACCATAATATAAGAGGGTTTAACACTACGCTAGTATAAAAAAGCGCTCTTATATTATGGGACAGAGGTAGTAGTTCGCATGGCTTGCACACACGGTGTGCTAGACATTATACATGTATTATAGTGTGGTTAGATGTGTTTGTGGTTGTTTTATTATCTATAATATCTTGCTAGAGGATTCTATGATGCACGCATCTAAGAAGTATATTGTATTTCAGCGATCTCTTATTTGAGTATTAGCCCAGTTAATAGTATGCCCCACACATCTTCATGTATTATTTTTATATTAACAGATGAGTAACAAATATATGGTGGAATAAAAGTTGTCCCCTTTAAAAATGAAAACCCCCTCAAGGAAGCAGATATTAGTGGAAGAATTATTGTACACACAAGAACCAAAATTGCGTGTCTTGGTAGGTATGCGGCAACCATATCATCTGTGTTTAGACGTTAGGTTTAGCTTTTTTTTTCGTGAATACGCAAAGCCTGTGTATCATTCATTGATAGGAAGAAGAGAGTACAATTGTGAAAAAAAGAAGGTGACGCTAGGGCACAACGTGCACAAGGATGGCGCCATCCCTAGCTTGAGCAGAACAGAATGTCGGGTTGCTCAGCCCAACCACAACAGCGAACTAGCTACGGCAGGAAATTTGTAAGCCCCTTGGTACCCGCCTTCGACCAAGTCTTGGCCTCCTCCTTGATACCATGCGAGAGGCACGTTAGGTTTAGCATAGACGATAAATTAAGGTAATCCGGTCGAATCAAAATGCATTTGCAAGAAGGTGTTAATGTACAAAATATCTACTAAACTGTAAACATGAATCATTTCCAAACCCCCTGAGAAGCAGTATTAAAGATGAAAAAAAGACATGATATTGCTAAAATCTTAGCAGGACGGAAAGTTAGACTAAAAGCTAGTACAGGAAAATAACTTTTCTCAAGAACCCCTACAGATATACAGATTCACCCCTCCATCTCCTTCATGTAATTTATTTCCTGGTGTGTGTGTGTGTATATCTCCATTTGGTGTAGGATTTTAGTTGAACGAAATCCAAATTAACCGAAGTGTGAACAAGGAAGTAATCTCCATCCCTGATGATGTTATTGTGAGAAACTCTACAAAGGAGGGGCCGATCAGAAAATATTTCAACAGCTCACCGCCATGGCCTCCAGGGCCCATGCTATGGCTAGGTTTGTTTCCAGAAAAACCCAACCCAAAGCAATAAATTGGAAACACTCTGCTCAGGAGTCAGGATTCGGCTGCTGCAGTCGCCGGATTATGCGCAAACAACACACGGTGCCTGCGGGCTGCGGCAATCACGACGCCGGGAGGAGCGGCAGCGGCACCGGCAGGAGGAAGGGCGGGAGGAGCGGCGCCCGGCAGAGCGGGCAGGTGCTGTGGCCGTGCGCGGCCCAGCGGTCGAGGCAGGCGCGGTGGAACACGTGTCGGCACCCGCGCGGCCGGCGCACGCACGCGGCGGCGTGGAAGTCGCCGAGGCACACCGCGCAGCTCTCCGGCAGCAGCAGATCTTCGCCTCTGGCGCTGGAGAGCCCATCGAAGCGCTTGGCCGGGGAGTGCTCCTCCAGCTCCACGAGGCAGTGGTCTTCGTGGTACAGCTCCTGTCTGCGGTGCTGGTCGGCGATGCCGGAGGTTGTGGGGTGGTCAAAGCTGAGGTCGTCGTCGACGCCGGCGCCGACGAGGCGGAGCGGCCAGGAGTAGAGGCGGCGAAGGCGGGCGATCAGGACGAGGAGGCTGAGCAGCAACCTGGGCACCTCGCACTCTGAGAACACTGGCGCCGGGAATCCCATTAGCTAGCTGATCTCGGTCGTCGAAGAAGAAAATAATTCTTTGGCACTCTTGCAGCCCAATCGAGCAGAGTTAGAGAAAGCGGAGTGGTGGCACACGAAGCTACCACCGGCTGGCCTTTATAAGGAGGAGCTAAAGCTGGACATAGGAAGGAGAAGAGCTTTGTGAGCGGCATGATGCAAAAATGGATGGCAAAGATAAGGGGTACCACGTAGCCTGAGCTACAGAAAACCATACTCAATTAATTAATTATGAAGGTTGTGAGTCGATGATCGAGATTAATGCCTTGTTAATGATTATTTGGGTGGTGGGGTGAGTCTTGTTGGCAAACTCACGGACCGAATGGAGCGGCTGCCGGCCCGACTCTTTTTTTTAACACAATACAGACGCAAGCACTTATATACACGCGCATACATTCATCTTTATGAACGCACACACGCACACTCTGGTGGGCCGGGATACCACAGTTCCTCTAACCATCCAACCACAGGTTGGTTCGCACTAACGACCAGACTCGGCCCTTACTCCTTCTTTGATCGAATGTTCTCCATTTAACGTAAAATGGACACTTCTCTCTTCATGCCCTATAATACTAATAGTTTTTTTGCCGGAATAATACTAATAGGTATGCATGTGGAACGCACGATCCAAAATAAAAAATATCTGATTTTTATTAATCTATATTTTGTTTTTTTCTTTTACTTAATTAGTCTTGCAAGCGTTTTTTTAGATAATCAGAACTCAACTTGGACGTCGACTAGCTGGGCCATGGGCTACTGGATACCTTAGGAGGGCCCCCTCCATCTCAGGGGCCCGGCGCGGCCGCCCCCCCTGCCCCCCTCAGGGCCGGCCCTGGCTCACTGACCCACTGAACCGTAGCATTGTCTGGCCTTACCATTTGTTTCAAGGACATAGAGGAGGGAATCCAACGGTCCATCCAAACAGAGATTGTAGAACCAGTCCCAACTGTTTTGATCAGTCCAGTATCAAGTGCTTGCTACTATAGCCCACCATGTTGCCGGAGCAGTTTTTGGAACTATAGCTTGCTGAAAGTCACTATCCAGGAAATAACGCCCCTTCAGATATCCAGCGGATAGAGAATTTGGACTTGTCATGAATCGCCACCCGTGCCTCCCCAGTAGTGCTAAGTTGAAGATTTGTAAATCTGAAAAACCCATACCGCCTTGCATTTAGGTGTAGCAAGATTGTCCAAAGAAACCCAATGCATCGAACGTTTATCCAGGTTACTGCCCCACCAAAACATTGCCATGCTTGATGACAAACCCTTGCACACTTTTTTGGTCAATAGAAAGCACCTCATACTGAACCAAGGGATCGCCTGAACCATTGATTTCAGAAGTGTTTCTCTAGGACCACAAGCTGATAATCTTTCTGACCATCCATTCATCTTACCACACATGATCACCAATTTGGCTAAACGTACCACTAGTGATCTTACATACTGTAGTAGGCAAGCCCAAGTGCCTATCAGTGAAGGCCTCCAACTGTATGCCAAGCACAACCTGGATCAATTGAAGAAAATGGCATTTTCTGTCTCAATTTACACACTGTCTAGATGCCATCCCATAAAACTGAAGTATATCACATTGAGTCTCGAGGCACTGCTGTTACAAGCTTTGAGAAAAATCAAGCAATCATTCGCAAACATCAAGTAACCCAAGGTGCTTTGAAGCTCACTCTTATGCCTCTGTCAATTTGTCCACCATATGAATTTAGTAGAGCTGAGAATCCCCGAGAAGGTGTAAAGAAAGGTAATAGGCGAAAGTGCTGTTCTACACCCGAGCTCATGTGAGCTCGGGTAAACAATAAAGTCAGATTTTTTTTTCAAAAAAAAACTGATTTTTTTGTCTGTAAAACATTGACAAAATGTTTGTTTGCTTGCAAAATTTCATGAAAATAACATTTTGGAGCATGTTTTTTTGCCACTATTTACACGAATGTCATATTGTGATGAAATTTTAAAAGCCAATAGAAATTTTGTCAATGCTTCACACAAAAAAATCTCAGATATTTTTTTAATTTTTTTCCTTTTTCCCGTCGCAGTGCAATTATTTTTGCATCATTTCTCGATATCTCATTGGTTGTCTGGGCCGCAACCGCTACTGCAACCGTACCACGTCCCACCATGTGGGCTTCATGGGGCCTGCTGCCAGGGTGGTCTCGTCGGTTTCGTTCGGCTGAGGCCCAGGCGGGATGAGTCAGAGTCACGCGAGCGTATCGGGAGAGTGGAGATGGGTATCTTCAGCTCTCACTATGCACTTATTGCCAAAAATAAGTATATTAAGGACCCTTACTCTTTTTTAGATAGGAGAGATAATTGTTCCATTATTAAATTGAACTAAAAATTATTTTGTTAAGTAAGTAACAATTTAGTAATTGAATATTATTGATGAGCCATTGCAGAAGCTGATAAAGATGTATACGAAGGAGAATGTGACAAAATTAATATGTTATGCCAAATGAGAAGACACTTCACCTATCTACAAAACCATCTTGCAGTACTTCGTAATCACATATTTATACTAAATATTTTTATTTTATTACATTTCATTATTAGAAATTTTTGACTATTATTTATATTATCTTTAAAAATATTCACGAACGCATTGGTAATATTAAACATTTGAACGTTATTGACATACACAAACTTATATCTTTATAAATGCAACAAGTGAGGTATATTACTGTTTTTATTGGAAATTATGTTGCTTTTTTCATATTATAGTCTAGGATGTTTTTTTAAATCTAGATCTTAATCTAAAGAAGCACAACAAAATTACAAAAGCACATGCATTCATCAGTGGAATAATTTGTTCCATTTATTGAAAGATAACGAAAGATGTATTTTGCATGGCATGTAGATGCGATGTACTTTCTATTGTACATATATTATAGTGTGTTTATATGTGTTAGTGGTTGTTTCATCTATAAATATCTTGCTAGAGGATTCTACGCTGCACGAGTCTAAGTAGTACTATATTGTAATTATTTCATCTCCTATTTGAGTAGTAGCCCAGTTACTAGTTAAGTTAACACATTTCCACGTAACAAAGTTACTTTTGATATTAACATAGTATGATGTAACAAATATATGATGAGATAAAAATTGGCTCCATTTATAATGAAAAATTCCTCAACAAAGCAAATATTAGTGCATAAAGTATTGTATATGCAAGAATGAAAATTGCATACTAGGTATGCAGCAACCCTACCATTAGATTTTAGACTTTAGAGTTAGCATATTCTATAAAATAAGGTAATTCGGTCGAATCAAAATGCATTTCCAAGTGAGCGTTAATGCACAACTACCAAACTGTACACATGAACCATTTCCAAGAGACGGAGGCTTTTACAGGCAATCAATCGTATTGTGGTTTTCTTTCCCCTTTTTCGTTGGAAGTTTTTTAGGTGATGACGCTTTCCTTTTTATTTTGAAGGAACGGTTGGAGTTCCTTTTTGGTATGTTTCACTAACGTGGGTCGTGTCAGATCGTTTTTCAATGAGACGGGACCATTTGTGTTACACAAATTTTCATTCTATCTTGTACGTAAATTCTAAAATCCAACGGTGTAATTAATTTTGATGTTCTGGATTAATTAGAGTACTTGAAAGATGCCTCCAATTAGTAATAAGAAGAAAGATGGACTAAGGGTGCATTTCACCCGTTTCCATAAAACCCGAACCGAAAGCGACAACTTAAGAGCACCCTCCTCAGGATTCGCTTGATGTAGTCTCCGGGTTGTGCAAACAACACCCAGCGGGAATCACGATACCAGGAGTGGGAGTGGCAGGAGGAAGGGCGGCAAAAGAGGCGCCCGACAGAGCGGGCAGGTGCAGTGGCCGCAAGGGTGGAGCCAGCGCCCAGCCACCCTGGGCACTTGCCCGGGCTCGCTGCATCCGCGATGCTGTACGACACTCTTTATGAGCTGACCAAATCTACCTGTATGTCGAGGTTTCCCAGGCGAAACTATTTTGGGGTTCGGTCGGTAGTGTGCTTCATGAGAATTAGCAACGGGTTCTAGGCCTAGAAAGTACCATGCGAGGAGCGTCTGTTCATTTTTTTTGAGTAAAACAGGGTTTCCCCTCCGATTTCCATTAGAGAAATCAAGCTGAAGCCGAAGTTCAGGTCTAGTAGTCTGAAATAAGCCAAACAGTGAAACGAGGCAAACTAGGAGAGGGCCTAGCCAGCGGGAAGACTCTCCCTACATGAACTAAAGACCAGACCAGCTGGGAGAGAACTAAAGACACATGAAAGCAAATGGCAAGTTCTAAAGTTGAGGCTTCTTCTCCCCGAAGCATCACTGCAGCCTTGGAACTCCGAAGCGCCATCCCTGCGAAGCTTTATAGATTTCACTTGCCACCTGTTCGACGAGCCTTGCCCCCAGCATTAGCGTTCTTTCCCCCGGGTCCTTTTTCTACAAAACTGCCCAGTCAGCAATCCAGTTACACATTCTTTTGACGATCCCAATCGGGTCGTTTATACTTTTTCTACCAAACAAAATATCATTCCTACTATTCCAAATCGCCCAAAGTAGAGCAGAGGTACCAGTCAAAACCATTTTCTTGTCAATTTTGCTGAATTTGTTCAACCAGTTTCCAAAACAATTATTCATGTCTTTTGGAATGTTTTTAAGGTCAAAAGCACACCCTACCAGACTCCAAATAAGTCTAGCAACAGAACAAGAGAAGAATAGGTGATCAATATTCTCTTCTTTTCCACAGAACATGCATTGTTTGTCTCCTTTCCAGCCCCTTTTCAGTAAATTGTCTCTGGTTAGAATACTCTTTTTATTCAGGAGCCAAAGAAAGAACTTAATTTTTGCAGGCACTTTAACTTTCCACATGAATTTATGTGGAAAGCCAACATCAGATTTAACAAAATGCAAGTATAAAGATTTCACAGAAAATTCCTTGTTAGCAGTCAACATCCACATGGGTTTGTCCCTCCCCCCATGCATTATTATTTCTTCACATCTCCTCC